GTCTATGTCGGCGTCAGGCGTGGTCACCGTCTTGGCCAGGCCCTCCACGGCCGCCTTCAGCTCGTACAGTTTACGCATGATCTCGTCCTGACGGGCCTCCAGGGCTCTGACGGACGGGTCCACTTCGCCATTCTGCAGACAGGAAATAATTCCGGTAAGATCAATTTGGGAGAGATGGGGGACAGGAAGTATGTTTTTTTTTTTTGGAATGTGGGAGGCAGTTGAAGCACACTGAGAAAACCAAATCAAGCATGACGAGAACATGCAAAGTCCACACAATCAGAACAAGAATCAAGCAAAGGCTCCACGGGCCATGCACTCCATCTTTTGACGTCCATCAAGTAGTTCAACCGAGAATAGACAGGCTTCTGGTAGTTAATGTTAGAATAGCGAGCATTTAAAGATAAAAGGGCCGGCGAATCTCAGAAACTGTGAGGCAGATGTACGAACCACTCATTCACCGTCCAGCTAAACAATACAAATAATAAACGGTGTTTTTCCTGTGTTCAAAATTGTGTGGTGGCCGCCTCGAGCTAATTTTGTGCTGCCCCAGCCACGGCTAACTGTGCTGATTGAGCATCGATGTCCCTTTCCGGCAGCCATTTATTTTAACTCCACTTGCAGCATTGCGCCACTGTGGAGGCGCTATATCAACAGCAGTACACAAAAAGACCTAAAGCAACTTCCGAAGAGTAAACATATCAAATTGTGTTTTGTTTGTTTTGTTTTTTCACACTAGTCGGTGCTATCGGCATCCTGAGTTTCCCTGCCAGATGGAACAAACAGGTAAATATTGGTGGGGGGGTTAGGTCATTCAAGCATGACGTGTTTATCCAAATTTATTTCCCTTCGTGTCAACCACCTCTGCCTCAATTTGAGCCAGGAAAAAAAACTGATGAATCTAATTTTTATGCCGCTTTTGTCAAAGATTTTTTTTTTTTTTTTGCTTTTGTCAAAGCTCAGGTGCCAACGATTCCAGTTTCTGACGTCACTCGGTAGGCTGCGCCCCTTAAAGGCAAACATCCAGCACGCCAATACTACAATGTGTACAGTAACAGCAATCAATGAAATAGGTTTCCATTCCCGTTTCTTAAATTTTCATATAATATACTGGAGTAATATTTTTCTTCATCAAAAGTAGTGCTTTGGGGTGGTCTGAAAAGAATTACTGGAATTTCAATTCATTTAACTGCGAAGATGTTAATTAAAATCGAAAAAGGTCACCGAATGAATTAAAAACGTTAAGTCCGGTGTTTTAAAATAGAACTGAGTCGAGACGTTGTAGTGAACATCTTTTTTTTTGTCTCATAAAGGCGACTACAACAGAGCGTACAACGAAAAGGTTTGTTGGAATTATTATGTAATAAGCGTAAGGAGGGTCGCGGCCAACGTCAATTGCGTTTGAGTTGCATCAGCAGCCCGAAATGTATCTTATCAGCTGGGCTAGCTAGCGCACTAGCGTCTTCATAGCAATATGACTAGCAGGCTATACGTTTACTACGCAAGTATAACAGAGAAGGCGACGTATGGTAAAGGAAAGAGAGTGAAAAATCATCTCACTCGTAAAGAACTGATTTGTCGTTTACCTGCAGCGCGTGTTCGTGGGTGCAACTGTTCGCCGGCTGTGCGTGGACATTTGCTAGCTTGTACATGCAGGTGGGCAAATCAACCTTGACGTCACCCCCGCAGATCGGCTGTACCTTGTACATGCTGGAGGGCACAAGTGTTTCAAGGGGCTCAAAAGAAACAAACAAAAGGACGAAAAATAAGCAATCCGGGAAGCAAATTAGAAATGGAAGGAACGTGAGCTTGACAGCCAGCAACAGCCCACACACCGGAAAAGAAAGGAAAACACCCCCTTCCGACAACGACAAAACTCAGTTGGTCTGTTTTAATTTTAATTACTTTATTTCGGAAACCAAATTTGAATATAGTACGCGTGTGATTTTTTTAAAAAAAATAAATTTTTATTTATTTTAATTTACGGTTAGAGAATTTTTCAAAAATGATTACCGGAAGTGGTAATGTGTTCCACATACGCCAGACGGCGCACGAGCATGATCTGTGTTTTACAAGATCAGCTGTTTGAAGTCAAAGGTCAAAAGAAAAAAAAAATCTAATCTGTTTTACAAGCTCAGCTGTTTGAAGTCAAAGGTCAAAAGAAAAAAAAATCTAACTAGTATATGCGTGGATGAATTTCCATAGGTGGCATAAGTAATCACAGTGTATTTGAGTAGATAGATACATACATAGATAGATAGTCCTGCAGTTTCCTAATCATGATGTCAATATTTTCTCTTCTAACTCAACCTGACTAGTGAGTGATGTCTTGTCAATCAACAAAGCAGTTTTAGAATTGGAAAGCAAGTCTGTGCAAGGCTAACGTTTCAATCACGAGTGGTGTTTTGACCTGATCAGACACGGCAACACAATCCCACACCAGAAAGCAATTCAGCCTTGCCCTAATCATCTACAGTGACATGTCCCCTTGTGGTCGCCTCCCGTCTCCACTTTACACCTGAGCTACATTCACTCCCTGGCACATAATGCTCGCACGTGAAACTTGAGCACTGCTGAAACCTGACAGTGACGAGCAAGAGCTTTAAATGATGCACGAACAAGGGATGCACACGTTATGAAGGCTACCGCTAGCGGGTCACGCAGGTGGACGTTTGAGGCGACGCAGGACTTGTAAAGGTTCGCGCACTTAAGTCGTTGAAGTCAAGTGTCATGTTGATTCTGTGTAATGAGCCTCTTTGTTTGTCGTCCCAAAGACGAACAATTAATGATGAATAAAACAAGTCACACTGGTACGCACGCTGCTGGTGGCGAACTTGCATGGTTAGTCCAGTTTGGAAGCCTTGAGCTCGTCAAACAGTTTTAACAATTGTCAATACCTCCTGTTTAATATTTAGTGCAGTTGGACAATGAGGAGCATTTGTGAATGATAAATGTCTGCAGATCTCGGCCAAATCAATATTGAAAGACTGAAAATAAATATTGGCATAATTTAATGAACATTGAAATCATTAAATACAACAACAAATGCCACATTTGTTTATGTATTCATTCAGGGAGCTGATTGGTAACCACAAGGGACCCCGATGACAAAAACAGGGGGAAACAAAACCTAATGAGGAAGACAAAAAAAGGTACACAAAGAACTGAAACCAAATCTAAATAAATATAAAATTAAATATACACCAAATGACACCAATAATTAAAATGCTGTGGACCTCACTGAATGCTCGAAATATAGAATGTGAGACTTGAGGTTGCGATGGTTTGAATCGGTGAAGGAATGTGGAAGAGGAAATAAAGTTGTAAAACACCATCTCTCTTAATATGAGACTTTTATTGTGAAAACAGGAAATTATTCTCCAAACAAAGAATGTGTATTTTGGAGTTGAAATGGTTTGAATCCATTAAAACCACACATGTAGAAAGAGGAGGGAGAAAAAAATGTCACCAACTCTTCATTTGGCTGGTTCTTAACATCTCAATTATGTGAATGTTGAACTTAAAAAAAAAAAAAAAAAAAGTAGACAGACCAATAACTTTATAAAGAGTTTGACGCAATATACCGGTACTGCAATGTGTGAAGACTTTTGTTTTCCCCTAATGGGAGCACGATGGCCTAGCAGTTAGCATGTCTCCCTCACAATCGAAAGATTCTGGGTGACCCTTCGTGTCTGTCTTCATCACTTTTGAGTCCCACCACACACGAGACTGAAGCAGTTTGACAGTCTGCCTCCAGAATTCCACAAGTCAAATTAACTTTGTTGTTTTAACGCTTTGCTGGCATGTGTAATTACGCCTTGTCACTCTGAATTTTTTTCACTGCACCCGATTGCCTCCCGAAAATAGCAACAAATTAACTCTATGCATGTCTGTTTTCTTCTCAGGCAACACCTGCTTGTTTACGACTTCAAAAAGCAGGTGCAGCGTTGAAGACAGGGCAAAAACATCCAAAACCTTTACCAAGGAAATGACGCTCACTTTTGATTGACACTATCAGAAAGGTATTTATTTTTCAATACATTTATTGTTGTATGTTTTTATGCCTTTGTGACTTAATGAGTCCTCAATGTGTATTTTGTAAATGGCTGCCTGCTTGAAAAACAGCGAGAAAAAATGACAATGATTTAATTCCACATTATTGCACATAAAAGATTAGATTTAAAAATTTGCCTGAATATACATTTTTTTTTTTAAATAAATGCAAATGTCTGGTGATTAACCTTTTCATGCACTCTGTAACCTGATGACATAATAAGCTGTCCACTGTAGGACCCGCTGTCTCTCAAAGGGTTAAAAGTGAAATACAACTGAATTGTACTTGGGCAGTGATTCTCTTGCAAACCAGAGGAGGGAGCTCGAGTACCACTAGTAGGACTGCACTGCAGTGCAAACCTTGCCCGCAAGATGAATTCTTGCAGTATTTGTGAGTTCACAAAATCCGGGAATCCATCTTGTCCTAAGACCACCGATTTGAACTGAGCCGATCACAAAGCAACAATGTGTTTTGGGGGTTGTATTTGCAGCTGTGACGGAAACTTTTCTCGGTTGACAATCGGCTTGATTCCCAAATTAAACATTGTGCGATTAAAGACGCCCTTTATCCGCATATTAAATTGCAAAAATGACAGCTATCACTCAATGCTATCTGTGGAAATAATCGCGATAACAGGACTGAAAACAAGGCACATGCCGGTGACGACATTTTCATCCGTTCCCGTGATTGGTGAAAACAAAATGTTGGCAGACGCGCGGCAGGCCTGTCGTCTCATGCATTATATATGTCCTTCCTGTGCGCTTCAATCTTTCACCGGGTATAGGATGGCAACCGCGCTCAGAGCAAAGCCTGGAAAGAATTCAATATCCAAAGTAGTACCGTACTCACGAATAAAATGGGCCAAATTGCGGCTGAAGCTAAAATGCGCTATGAGCTTTCTGAGTGAGCTGAAAGGACGAGTCTCCGTTGCAACCTAATAGAGACCCTTGGAGAGAAAACACCTGCAGTGAACCAAAAAATGCTTGCGTGTCAACTTTTCAGTTCCAAAGCACTTTTTCACAAAATTCAAATATTTTCTATATTTACAAAAAAATAATAGCCACTTATAATATTTATTTTCGCCATTAATCTGGACCTTTTGACCTATTTGTCTTTTTTTTTCTTCTTGGATTTATCCATGGTTTGTTTACCCGAGTCGAATGGGTCAATAAATCAGACCAGCGCTTGTGATGCAGATTTTGAGCGGCAAAAACAACTCAAGACATTTTATTTTCATGTGACAAGGGCACAAATTGCGTTGAAAGAACGAAGCGACTTATTTACATTTTCCCAAAAGCCTCACGAGAGAGCCGCAGGTGGCAACGGAGAGACCGGAAGAGCCACAGAAAGGCACACAAATAGGCATCCTTGGAAATGTAACGTGAAATCAGCCGTTTGTTGTCAAAGAGCACGTTGTGCAAGCGTGTAGGCGAGGATCCCTCCCCTCTTTGTTTGATATGACTTGAAGATGGGACCCACATTAAACTTTGAAACGGCCTTAATGAGTAAAATGAGCCTGACACCCCTTTCTTAATCCCACTTTTTTTTTTTTCTCTGTGAAGACAATGCAGTGAGAGAATCAATAATTGATGACCGAAGCAGATAATCAGGCCATCCCTCACACGGCGTATTCAGACCTGATCACTTACACACTAGCAATATTTGAGGTGAGGTATCACAATTAAAAAAAAAAAAAACACCAAAAAAAGACTGCATGAGAGCAAGTAACACACTTGAGCATAAAAATTGCACGGGTAACTGGAGTCAAACTAATTTTCAACCACAGCATAAAAAGGAATTAATTTACAGTATATAGATGCAAGGAATATAATTTTTATTTTATTTTATTTCAGAGGTGGGAGTAAGTCAAATACGTGCAAGTTGCAAGTCATAGGCTTCACGTTTCAGGCAAATCCAAAGTTATTGTGGACCAAAAAATAAATAAAAAAATCAAGTCGAGTTGCCACCAAATTTCAAGCAAGTTGAGTCAAGCCCTTACTTGGTTCAAGCAAGTCACAATACCTTGCTCAGTCACGACAAATATTGGCGTGATGATACAATATTTTTTTTCACTGATCACAACACAAAAATTGTGTTTAAAAATTGAAAGAACATTGACATCACGTACAGATGTCGGGTGGGTGGATTACATCTCAAAAATGAAAGGAACAATAATTAAGAATGTGAAGGGAAATTATTGGAAGTGGTTCTTGACAAAGCACTCTGTATAATTCCATCCATCCATCCATTTTCCGATCTGCTTTATCCTCACAAGGGTCGTGCTGGGGTGCTGGAGCCTATCCCAGCTGTCTTCGGGCAGTACGCGGGGGACACCCTGAACCGGTTGCCAGCCAATCGCAGGGCACACAGAGACGGACAACCATACGCGCTCACATTCACACTGAGGGACAATTTTTTGAGTGTTCAATCAGCCTGCCGTGCATGTTTTTGGAATGTGGGAGGAAACCGGAGTAGCCGCAGAAAACCCACACAGGCACCCGGAGAACATGCATACTCCACACAGGAAGGCCGGGGTCGGAATCAAACCCGGTACCTTCGCACTGTGAGGTTGACGCGCTAACCACTCGATCACTGGGCCGCCCTGTATAATTCCTTGGTGGGGGTTTTTTGGGGTTTTTTGCCTGTTCAATAACTTCAAGTTGAAGAATGGCAAAGCGGCCCCAGTGTGCTTCCATTTTTCAATATTTGGCTGTATGAAGAAAAAATCTGAACAGCCTGTCACAAGTTGACCCGTTTCGGCAAAGACACTTACTTTGTCACATGACCTTGTTGGGTTGTCGCACATCATGAAATCGTGCATGCGCCAACACGAAACCAATGTTAACATCGGACGTTTGCTGTAATAGCCGCGGACGTAAAATCAACACAAGTGGTCGGATCAGTGAAGGATCTTGTTCAATTTGGGTTCCTCCACCCAGTTGCTGAGCGTCAAGGCAGTTGTTGGTTCAAATCTAACCCTGAAGATGATAAAGCACGGCGTGTTTCAAGCAGAAATATTGAAGTGTACGTCGTTATCAGTAAACCAGGAAGTGACCCGTGAACATACGAACAAACAAATATGATGCATGTCCAGTGTTCTTTTTTTCATGTTTTGTCCACTATTTAGGATTTGCTCTCCGCCTGTCCAGGTGTGCCACGTTGTTGTGAAAGCTCTCTTTAAATCCAGATGAGTTAAGATGAGTCGTCAATTTGTTTCATTGTTTGTTTGTGGGCCCGTTCTTTGCTTTCTTTCAGTCCGTGTCAGTTCATTGGAGTCGCCGGAGAACGGTTTGTTATTTCCTGTTGCTTGTTTGCTTCTTTGAATCGTGTTTCTCGGGGCTCTTTTAATTGAGCATTTTGAGTTTTCCAAATATTTCCCTTTTTGCCAACATTTTTCTTTCTTTTTTTTTATTTTTTTTTATTATTATTATTTTTTTTATTATTATTCTTGCTCTCTTGTCTTGCAAGTCTCCCTGCTTCTCCTTTCTGCCTTCACGGCACAAATCCGTGACAACAGTGGTTCCCCTAACTTCGACTTTGCTTCAATCATTTAAAGTTTTTTTGTTGTCTTACAGTATAATTGCGCATCAGTTTGGTTCAAGTTTATTTCACAAAGCTGAGTTCTTGGTTAGCTTTGATCGAACCCAAGTGAGGACTCCAGCGATCACCAAGGTCACCTCCTCTGCTCATATTCAAACGCGCACACATTTACACAGTTATGAATTATGCATTAGCAGCTTCAATACAGGAATGTGTGGACGTGCACCTTCAGGTGTATCATTCCAAGTGATATTGTCATTGCTGTCTTTTATAACACAAAAGGTACACTGGAAAAAAAAAACGGGACAAGCCGAGATGCACTGGTTTTATCATTTTTATTTCTCTGGGTATATTAGGTGACTTTAGCATTTCTTTGGGGACAGTAAATCCTTCAGACAAAAAGTGGGCGGGCCCAGTGATGATGATGTTGACCGGATGGTTGAATTAAGGGACTTCTTGATGCCGTGTAAAATGAGAGACAGCTGAAAAAAAAGGGTCGCACGTGTTTAGGACCGCACCATAGCTTGGAACTCTGTGGACGACAGAAAGAAATGGAATGATTGCTTGGAGGCAGCCAATTGGCGGGATCAACCAGGATGGCGGTGTCATCCAGAATTAAGAGACCCCAGTATTGCTAGTTTCCAGTAAAATGAACATTGGCAACAGAACATCCAAACTCCAAATTAGAAATCTTGTCAGAGCAGTTATTTGCGGCGAATGAAAATCCCGTCTCGTGTTTCTTCTCTGAGCTGTGCAGCACTCGTACCTTCGAGTCCAATGCGGCCGTCGTTGTCTTCATCGGCGGCGCTCAGGAAGGTCTTGGTCTCTTTCTCTGTCAAGACCCGGGCGGTGGGACAAAACCTCTGGAGGAAAAACCTACAAACCGCCAGCAGGAACATGTGTAAACCCGAGATGTCGAAGGCCTTGATATTGCTCTCCATGAGATTATGTGGCACTCACTTGAGCTCCTCTTCTTCAATGTAACCGCTCCCGTCGTTGTCGAGGATGCCGAAAACCTTCTTCACATCCTGCGGGCTCTTCATGGCCAGGCCGCACACCTGGAAGAACTTCTTGGGGCAGAAAGACTCGGGCCCTAAATCCAGAACGTAGATGAACAGCAGAGCAGCGTTAGCAATGTTGTCTCAAGAGTCCCGATCCATCCATGCATTCTCGGAACCGTTCACCCTCACAAAAATTTTGTCCATTCAATCTGCGGTGAATATTTTGCAACGCTGTCGAGTCGCAGACTTTTGTGCTCAGGTTAAGAGTAGTACGACGGCGCCCTTTGGTGTCGAGGAACTACCGTATTAGCCCGAATATAAGACGGTGTTTTTTGCATTGAAATAAGACTGAAAAAGTGGGGTCGTCTTATATTCGGGGTCTAGACATTATATCCATTCACGACGCTAGATGGCGCCAGATATCAATGAAGCGAATGCTGAACTTGACTCCCCAGGCCAAAGTGAACCCCTGCCACGAAGAATAAAAATAAAAATAGCGGAAGCACAAAGAAGAAAAATAAAAAAATAGCGGTAAGAAGGAAAAGAGAAGAAAATAATAGAAGAGACAACAGAAAATGGAGAAACGTAGTGACAATCTGGAGAAAAGTGGGTCGAAGATCGGCTAGGTTAACTGGCAGCTGAGGAGAAGTTATGATGTAATTTACATTTCAAAAACCAGAAGCCATTCATTTACGAATGTGGTTACACTATATGCATGCTTTTATATATGTCTGCTTTTTCTCTCAAATATATTGTTATAATCATTTGTACTGTAATTATTTTCTGTATAAAAATTAATTTGGTGTTCAAAAAGTATTTTTTCAAACTTGAGTCTTGAAAAAGAGGGGGTCGTCTTATAATCAGGGCCGTCTTATATTCGGGCCAATATGGTATATTAAACTATATTTTGTTATTATGTTATTCTGTCTTCAAGATGGCGTCGCGAGAGTGGCTGCCTTTACGGTAGCTCCTATACTTTTTGTTCTTCTACTTTCATCCTTTCATAACTTTGCTGCTGTAAATTGGGAATTTCTCCATTGGGAGACGAATAAAGGTTTTGTTATTCTTATTCTTATGCTTAAAGTGAGTTGAGGAGCTTTGTTTTGACCAAAGCAGTGCTTTGGTATTATCTGCTGTCATCTTGGGGCCAAGAAACTATGTTGAAGTGAGTTGAGAAGCATCAGGAAGACAATGGTAGTTCTATGGCGCCATCTTAGGGCGACTGTAGGAAATTACGAACATTACTGCCTCCGTCACCCACTCTAACTGAAGTGAGGAAGATACAGCGCAACACGTTCTGTTTTTTTATTGTTTTGAAATACAGTGGTTGTAATGAACATTAATGTGCTGTTTTGCATTGTACACATTGCATTGTACAGTGAGAATTACCCGAATGTTCCCGTGTTGCAATCAAGTGACGACTGTGGCTTATACTTATTGCCTTGCCTCCAGGATATGTACTCTGACTTTATTAGCCTGTCAAATTTGCATTATTTGTCCAACAGAGGCCAAGTGAAATGTACATTTTGACGCATGAAGTGAAGAAACATGCATTAAGAGTTCCAGTATCTATTTTAAATCCTTTTCCTAAGCATGGCAACAAAAACATACACTTACTGATGGTGATACTATTGTACAAAAGAAAGCGGGCAAAATGACACAAACTGTGAGTGCCAGAGATGCGCACAAATTCAAAAGACAACGGTGATGGAGGGGTAAGACGATACCTTGGCAGTCCTTGATCGCACTGCCGATGGCATCAGCGGAAAGGATGGATGACAGCGACATGTTCTTTACCTGCAGGTGCATGCAAAGCTTGAATCATATTTCACTGCACCAGCAATAAGTGTCAACGGACAGCTTCGGAAAGTTCCCTCTTGCCTGATAATCAAATAATCAACTATAGGGCTGAAATAATATCGCTTTTCCTTTCAGGGATAATTCAACTTCAACATACAAGCTAAATGTCAAACTTACCAGGTGAGAAGGCTGGCGGGCCAGTTGATGATGCAGCAGAGAGGAGAGGTTGGGCTGAGTGGTGACTGCCGTCCGTCAACTTGGCTTTTATAGGCCCGGCTGCAGTGACAATGGGCTTCACTTGAGTTACCTGCCCGTGGATCGAATTCTAACCGGCCGCCCGATCCAGTTTCCCAGCTACCTAATTAACCTTGACTATTTATAAACGCCCACGGCCGAAGAGACGGGACCCCGTGGACCTGTGGAATGCCCTTGCGAAGACTAAATTCACTTCAAATGTATACGACACTCCCTCCCGTGCGACGCTCCCCATTGTCGATCACACACACGGCATCTCCTTGCATGGCTTCTTTTTAAGTACCGTATATATATA